CAGAATACAGACAGATGGACAGACAGGTTATTCAGTATGTAAAGCCATATTGCCTATTGTACAGTTCAGTTTAAACAAGTACTTGAAAAGGAAGGGAATTTAATGAAGTCAGCTTCTTTTGGTATGAGGAATACAACTTTTTCCTTCATCAGGTGAATGGTGTAAGCAATGGTAAGTATACAGCGATAGAAGCTAACAGTTTTAGTCCACTAGTCCTTATAATGATAACATAAAGCAAAACCCTTCAAAATAGCATTTTTTCTACTAGTCCTTATGAAAAGGACTGATACCTTAACTTAATTGGGCAGTTTGGCAAGGACTACAGGACTAGTGCCAATTTCTAACGCTGAGTATATACTCGAAACTTTGAATGTTCACCTGATGAAGGAGTAAGTATATACTCCGGGGTTTTAAACACCGCTTTTTACAGTATTCCAGTAATATCAGGGCGTGTCAACTTTATGTGGGAGGAAAGCCCGAAGTGATGCAGGTCTGAGACGTTTTCCCCGGTGAAACCCATGAGCACGGGTATGGTGCTAACAAACCTAGAAACATAATCGGAGCGAACCGGGTTTCGAACCCACATTCACAGGTTTCTGGCGTGCCCGAGGGACGCAACTCTGCACAGCGCATTGCAGCACTTAGACGACACATGCCACCGAACTCTTTAAGAAGAGTAATTGTGATTGGTTGTTGAGAGTCAACCTCTGGCCTACACTGCATTATTAAGGTATTGCGAGTATTCCTGCCTTTGAACTAAAAAAATTAATAATTAAATGATAACACTAGGACTGTTGACATAGAATTCCATGATATGGTATAGGTGATGGCAGCTCAATTGAATAATATCACTTGCTGTCTTGACTCCTTTAACGTTAACTGCTCAAGATGTGATGTAATGCGGGGTAGAATAGGGGCAGCAACCCATGCTTGCCGTAAAAGGCGACTGTGCTTGCCGTAAAAGGCAACTGTCCTGGTAAAAGGCGACTTATGGGATCGGTTGATGCACGTCATCGTATCCCAATTGCGTGGATCGATGCTCATGTCAATCACTGGATTGTCTGGTCCAGACTCGATTATTTACAGACCGCCGTCATATAGCTGGAATATAGCTGATTATACTCAACATATAGCTGAAATATTGCTAAGTGCAGCCTTAAACAACAAACAAAACAAAACAAGAAAAATCAGATGAGACTATGTCAGTCACTGATGAAGACTGTACAAAGTGGGGTGGTCGGGTAGCCTGGTGGTTAAAGCGTTCGCTCGTCACGCCGAAGACCCGGGTTCGATTCCCGACATGGGTACAATGTGTGAAGCCCATTTCTGGTGTCCCCCGCCGTGATATTGCTGGAATATTGCTAAAAGCGGCGTAAAACCATACTCACTCACTCACTCACTGTACAAAGTACAGGTGTTATTTCACGAGTTCGCTGAATCCTTTGAAAGTAAATGACCAGTGTAGTGTATTCATCACGACTGCTGTTGCTGTACTCGACACCTTCACATCGTGGGTATGCAGTGTTTGACTTGTAATTATTAGATTATACACAAGGTTACCAAGAACAAAGATGTCAGCAAAGACAGTTGGCCACTGTCACAAGAGCATGGTGTATACACCATGTACACAAACTGATCACACTTGACACGGAAGCACTGTCTAAATCTAGCACTCAGTTACATTGTTTATTTTGAGCTTTGTTATGTATGTCATTGTTTCTGCTCATGTGGAGTGAACCTGACAAGACAATATACTCCCAATATGGCCAGACAAAAATGTGTCACTTTATTAATGTGAGCCAGGGACACTTGCATTTTGCAGATTAATTTCATGGTTACATGAATTTCTTGAATTATGTTACGGCATAATGGAATTAAGATATTGGAATATGCAAGATGAGTGCATGCACGTGATTGAATATCTTTGCTGCGATCTTTGTGAAAAAAACATGTAGAAATGCACACTGAACTGTCAACCCGATCAGTGCCTAGATTAACAGTGACAGGCATCAAGATTCATTGAGCAGTGGTTCAAGCACCTGCCACAAGTAGATACCCCCAAGTTCATTGATCAATGATACAAGCACCTGTCTCAAGTATACCCCCTATGTTCATTGATCATTGATACAAGCATCTGCCTGAAGTATACCCCCTATGTTCATTGACAAGCACCTGCCTCAAGTATGTACCCTATGTTCATTGAACATTGATACAAACCAAGCCTCCAGTATGTACCCAATGTTCATTGAACATTGATACAAACCTAGCCTCAAGTATGTACAAAATGTTCATTGATCATTGATATAAGCACCTGCCTCAAGTATGTACCCTATGTTCATTGACAAGCACCTGCCTCAAGTATGTACCCTATGTTAATTGACAAGCACCTGCCTCAAGTATGTACCCTATGTTCATTGACAAGCACCTGCCTCAAGTATGTCCCTCATGTTCATTGAACATTGATACAAACCTCGCCTACAGTATGTACCCTATGTTCATTGATCATTGATACAAACCAAGCCTCCAGTATGTACCCAATGTTCATTGAATATTGATACAAACCTAGCCTCAAGTATGTACAAAATGTTCATTGATCATTGATACAAGTACCTGCCTCAAGTATGTACCCTATGTTCATTGACAAGCACCTGCCTCAAGTATGTCCCTCATGTTCATTGATCATTGATACAAACCAAGCCTCCAGTATGTACCCAATGTTCATTGATCATTGATACAAACCTAGCCTCAAGTATGTACCCCATGTTCATTGATCATTGATTCAAGCACCTGCCTCAAGTATGTACCCTATGTTGATTGACAAGCACCTGCCTCAAGTATGTACCCTATGTTCATTGACAAGCACCTGCCTCAAGTATGTACCCAATGTTCATTGAACATTGATACAAACCTAGCCTCCAGTATGTACCCTATGTTCATTGATCATTGATACAAACCAAGCCTCCAGTATGTACCCTATGTTCATTGATCATTGATACAAGCCCCTGCCTCAAGTATGTACCCAATGTCCATTGATCATTGATACAAGCCCCTGCCTCAAGTATGTACCCCATGTTCATTGTTCATTGATACAAGCACCTGCCATAAACATGTTTTGTTTGGTTGGTTGTTTTGTAACGCTGCACTCAGCAATATTACAGCTTTATGGCGGCAGTCTGTAAATAATCGCGTTTGGACTAGACAATCCAGTGATTGATATAAGCATCGGTCCACGCATTTGTTAGTCACCTCTTACGAAAAGCATGGGTTGCTGAAGACCTATTCTAACCCAGATCTCAAGTATGTCCTCCATGTTTGTTTAACACTGGTACAAGCACCTGCCTCAAGTATGTCCCCCATGTTTGTTTAACACTGGTACAAGCACCTGCCTCAAGTATGTCCCCCATGTTTGTTTAACACTGGTACAAGCACCTGCCTCAAGTATGTCCCCTATGTTTGTTTAACACTGGTACAAGCACCTGCCTCAAGTATGTCCCCCATGTTTGTTTAACACTGGTACAAGCACCTGCCTCAAGTATGTCCCCCATGTTTGTTTAAAACTGGTACAAGCACCTGCCTCAAGTATGTACCCCATGTTTGTTTAACAATGGTACAAGCACCTGCCTCAAGTATGTCCCCTATGTTTGTTTAACACTGGTACACTGTTAGCACCTGCCTCAAGTATGTCCCCCATGTTTGTTTAACACTGGTACACTGTTAGCACCTGCCTAAAGTATGTCCCCCATGTTTGTTTAACAATGGTACAAGCACCTGCCTCAAGTATGTCCCCCATGTTTGTTTAACACTGGTACAAGCACCTGCCTCAAGTATGTACCCCATGTTTGTTTAACAATGGTACAAACACCTGCCTCAAGTATGTCCCCTATGTTTGTTTAACTCTGGTACACTGTTAGCACCTGCCTCAAGTATGTCCCCCATGTTTGTTTAACACTGGTACACTGTTAGCACCTGCCTCAAGTATGTCCCCCATGTTTGTTTAACACTGGTACACTGTTAGCACCTGCCTCAAGTATGTCCCCCATGTTTGTTTAACAATGGTACAAGCACCTGCCTCAAGTATGTCCCCCATGTTCGTTGAACAAACTGGTACAAGCACCTGCCTCAAGTATGTACCCCATGTTCATTTAAGACTGGTACAAGCACCTGCCTCAAGTACGTCCCCCATGTCCGTTTAAGACTGGTACAAGCACCTGCCTCAAGTATGTCCCCCATGTTTGTTTACACACTGGTACAAGCACCTGCCTCAAGTATGTACCCCATGTTCGTTAAACAAACTGGTACAAGCACCTGCCTCAAGTATGTACCCCATGTTCGTTTAAGACTGGTACAAGCACCTGCCTCAAGTACGTCCCCCATGTTCGTTTAAGACTGGTACAAGCACCTGCCTCAAGTATGTCCCCCATGTTTGTTTACACACTGGTACAAGCACCTGCCTCAAGTATGTACCCCATGTTCATTTAACACTGGTACAAGCACCTGCCTCAAGTATGTCCCCCATGTTTGTTTAACACACTGGTACAAGCACCTGCCTCAAGTATGTCCCCCATGTTTGTTTAACACTGGTACAAACACCTGCCTCAACTATGTCCCCCATGTTTGTTTAACATGCTGGTACAAGCACCTGCCTCAAGTATGTCCCCCATGTTTGTTTAACAATGGTACAAGCACCTGCCTCAAGTATGTCCCCCATGTTTGTTTACACACTGGTACAAGCACCTGCCTCAAGTATGTACCCTATGTTCATTGACAAGCACCTGCCTCAAGTATGTCCCCCATGTTTGTTTAACACACTGGTACAAGCACCTGCCTCAAGTATGTCCCCCCATGTTCGTTTAACACTGGTACAAGCACCTGCCTCAAGTATGTACCCCATGTTCATTGAGCACTGATACAAGCCCCTGCTTTGAGTTTTTGCAACACATTTTTTATATTTCATGGTGTGAGGTATATTATCGTAACTGTTTCCTTTTCGCTCTTCACACCTATCAGTGAAGATGTAAGGTATTGCGCATCACACGAGAGACCAGGAAATTCCTCACTCACATCAGGAAAGCCCCTACATTGTCAGCACTCTGCTACATCCTGGACACTGACTCCGGCAGCCCCAGGAAGAGGTGACTCACAGTCATCGCCAGATCCCCTGTGGACTATGCAGCTATATTCTAGCCGATGTATGTGTTATTTAGACAAGTACAGTAACTCCCAGCTTGCAGTGGAGGTGTAGAATCAGCTCGGTCTATATATACCTAGTGTAGATAGATGCTGGCCTTCCTTATCACTCCCTGTAGTCAGAGGAACGGATTCCTTCATGTGAGTAACTGGATGCTCTGTGTGTCGTGTTGTGGCTTGAGGATCTCCTGGTTACGGAGGCAGGCATCAGTGTACTCTGACTGGCTCAGGTGAGGCATGAATTAATGAAGAATTAGGCCATAAGGTGATAATGTCTTACTTTGTTGATGGCCGTGACCTGGTGATGTTAACTTATTGCTGACTTACATGATAGGATTCTTGTTGATGAATGTCGTAGGGTATTTGATATGTTGTGTTATTGTGTTTCATTGGTTGTAACGAGGGTAGTAAGAATCTTTGATTTGTGTCATCATTGATTTGTTGTGTTATTTTGTTTGATTGGTTATTAAGAATCTTTGATTTGTGTCATCTTTGTGTCATAGAATCTTGATTTGTTTGATTTATTTTGTTACATTGGTTTATAGTTTTGCATTGTTTAGTTTTTTGGGTAAATGATCTTGAGCTTTATGGTGTATTCATGTTTTGATAAAAAAATTAAAAAATAGAACTATAATTATAACCAGTATGATCAGTTACTGTGGTGATTGTGACTTTATTTCAAAACTGAAAAACAATTCAAGTTAAAAGGTACTTTATAATCACTAGGTTTATGAGTACCAAAATTGTAAAAAAACCCATTTATGACCAGTATTTAATGATGAGGAAAGCTTGAGAAAGTTGGAGAAAGAAGGAACTATGGCCACTTGACATGTTAACCGACACAGGTCAGGATGTGCCCACTATGAAGTAACAAAGTGCAAGTGTGCCAACTTGTAAACTTCCGCCAGTCTGCTTATGTTTCAACACAGCTTCATCTACTCCCTGCTAGACATACCTCCACATCCTGGCCTCATGATGCCTTCATTAACAGGTCCTCCATCTTAAATTGTATATCATGTACCGTATTCGACGTAATAAGCGCCCCGCTCTAATAAGCGCCCACAGCGATATTTGCTAATATATTGGCTAGTGAACAATCCCAATTAGCACCCCTTCCGATTGATCAATGTACAGAAGACGTATTTATTCGCGTATAATACGCACTCGTGTGTTATATGCACCGTTAATTATGGGGAATTGAATTCTGGAAAAATATATCTGTCGTACATAAACATTTCAGGCTGTCAGTATAAACCACAAAATTTATCTTTCAACTCTGTTTTTTCACCAAAATAATATTCTAATGAGAGCCCCCTATTTCTAATTATGAGAGCGTCCAAGGCGCTTGTTACGTCAAATACGGTATATGAAGACATGTTGAGATATTGCTATACTAACATGTAGTCTCTGAAATAAATACATCTTACAGAAAAAAAAACAGTTGTTAAATTATCAAAAATATTATTAAAAGGAACCCAGAGACTCTTCATTTTCAGAATGATACTGCAGTAATCTAGACTTGGCAAACATGATAGACTTGCATGGGCTGTATTAGATATATATGTTTCAGGGTCTGTATGACAGACTAAGATATTGCATTGATATGTAGTAATTAGCTAGTGTTTTATGAATTGAAGTTATAAAAGAATAATACAGTAAACAATGTTTCTAACGAACACGCTTATAACTAAGTGATGGATATTACAAACTGTTTTTTTTGTTTTGGCCATTTGCTGTATATGTTGTATATGCTTATAATGAACTTTAGTTAAAACGAACTAAAATAACAGTCCCTATGAGTTTGTTATAATTGTAGTATACTGTAGTGATGATGATGATGATGATGATGATGATGATGATGATGGGTGATGGGGGGAGCACGGGTGGCCCAAATGTCTTTAACTCTTTGTATTATCAACACTTCAAAGTCCTACCTGACACTCAATAACTTGAGGGGGGCACGGGTGCGATTTGCTGTGCAGAGTTGCGTAACTTGGGCACGCCAGAAACCTATGATTATGCGTTTGAATCATGGTGCGCCCCGATTATGTTTCTAGGTTTGTCAGCACCATACCCGTGCTCGTGGGTTTCACCTCGGGCTTTCCTCCCACTTTAAGATGACATGCCGTGATATAACTGGAATACTGTTAAAATCGAAGTTAAACCCTACTCACTCATCGGTCACTGCTTTCTGTGCATTACCATGAAGACATGATTACTTGGTGAAGACATGATTACCTGGAAAAGACTTGATTACCTGGTGAAGACTTGATTACCTGGTGAAGATCGCTATATAAGTGCAATAATCTTGGACGCGATGTTAAACCCCATTTCACCTCACCTCACCTCACCTGGTGAAGACTTGATTACCTGGTGAAGACTTGATTACCTGGTGAAGACATGATTACCTGGGGAAGACTTGATTACCTGGGAAAGACATGATTACCTGGTGAAGACATGATTACCTGGTGAAGACTTGATTACCTGGTGTAGACTTGATTACCTGGTGAAGACATGATTGTTGACACGCCGCCATCACATAGCAGGCTTGTTCAACAACAAAATACACAGTAATTACCACAATAACTTTGTTTGTTTCTTTATGATTTCAGATGATGTGGACTGTGAGAGGGAGGAGCCCTCTGCACCCCTCAGCTCGTGAGTGTCGGCCAGCTGCAGTCCGCCACCGCCCTCATCGCCCCCCCACCACCTACTAATTAGTGAGTCACTGCAGCTCATGTTGGAGCAGGGTTTTACACGATGCAGAAATGTGTGTCCAGTCCGCACAAATATATAGAATGGATGCAGAAAGAAATATATATTGCATCCCAATCTTGACAAGTAATATAAAGTTCCTGTAATACAAGTAAATATTAAATCTTGTAGTACACTATTTCATTAGTTTACAACCCGTGAAGATCCGGGGTAGAATAGGTCTTCAGGAACCCATGCTTGCCGTAAAAGGTGACTATGCTTGTCGTAAGAGGCGACTAACGGGATCGGGTTGTCAGGCTTGCTGACTTTGTTGATTGCATGTCATCAATCCCAATTGCGTGGATTAATCCTCATGATATCAATCACTGGATTGTCTGGTCCAGACTTGATTATTCATAGACCGCCGTCAAATAGCAGGAATATTGCTGAGTGCGGCGTTAAACAACGAACAAACAAAAACATTACTTTACAGGACCCTCATATTTTCTGTAAGGACCTATGAAATAAGTAATTGGGGGTCATCTAGACCCCTAGTTTTGTAGGTGGAGCTGAAACCCTGTAGTAATTCTAAGTAAGCTCCCTCCCTCTTCTTGTCAGGCACCTGCTGAACGGACACCATTACTGGAGTATATATATACATGTATATCATTAGGTATTAACCATAAAATAATCTGTCTGAAGGAGGCATGGTATTTTTCGGTGAGATAGAAATATTTTTCTCGGCCAATGCTTCATACTTTTTTCTCCGAACTTGTGAAAGGAGATGTTGAGCAATTTCAATCTTTTGCAGAACACACCAGCATGCCCAGAGAACACTTATTTCTGTAATACCCGAGGCAAAATCAATTTTTTTCTATGATTTTCTGAAACATTATTTTTATAAAGAATCCCAGGCTTCTCTATGTCAAATCCAGCACTGCATGTCCACAGCGTTAAAAATTGGCAGTAGTCCTGTAGTCCTTGCCAAAGTGCCCAATAGTTAAGGTATCATAAGGACAAGTAGAAATTTGCCATGTTTAAGTGTTTTACTGTATGTTATATAATTGTAAGGACTAGTGGACTCAAAATGTTAGTTTCTGCCGCTGTGTCCAGAACTTCGAGTGGAAGGATTATATAATGTCATTAGTTGAAGCTTTTTGCCCCCCTCCCTTCTCCCAAGGTTTATAGACCCGTGAAGATTCCGGGGTAGAATAGGTCTTCAGCAACCCATGCCTGCAGTAAAAGGTTACTTTGCTTGTCGTAAAAGGCGACTAACGAGATCGGGTGGTCAGGCTTACTGACTTGGTTGATGCACGTCATCGATCCCAGTTGAGTGGATCGATGTTCATGATATTAATCACTGGATTGTCTGGTCCAGACTCGATTATTTACAGACCGCCGCCATATAGCTGGAATATTGCTGAGTGCGGCGTTAAACAACCAACCAACCAACCCAAGGTTTATATAATGTCATTAGTTGAAGCTTTTTGTCCCCCTCCCTTCTCCCAATCTTAGCATCAGAATGCTCACTATGGCTGACTGAGGTTGACTGTGGAGCGGACACATACATTGTGTAACGTTGTTCACAGACTGGTTTGAAATCATAAACACAGAGGGGATTCCTTCCATCAGGGTGTGTTTGTTTCAATTTATTGTGTGAACAATTGCTCACAGCCGCAGGAAAATCTGTTTATTTTTTTGTTCAATTCTATAAAGTGTATGTGCTTACTAAGCTAGAAAGTTAACGCTATCGCTTTCATTGAGTTTTGCCATTTATTCACTACTTCTACTTCAAACTCATCATGCACTGTTCTGCAGAGTTGGTTTTTCAATTGTTTTGTGGTCTCACTATCGAAGAGACCGAAGACAAAGTCTCCGCTTGGGCAAAGGGAGGCAGTTATGATCTTGATTGGATGCAAGTGGAAAATTAATTTGTGGTCTGGTCCCTGGCAATCTAGTAACACTGTGACCTTTGGTTGCCTATGCTCCTCCCTGTAAACAATTTTGATACAGACTTTTGAGATGCTCCCTCTTTTATTTTTTTTATATCTTTATCAGTGTAGCGTCAAGTTGATATGAAAATTGTTTACAGGGAGCAGCACGGAGATATGGTTACCACAGCTGACCTTTGATCTGCTGACCTGTAACTGTGTAAAGTTAAACAACCTCCATTTCAAAGTGCGTCAGCTCATCAAACTGAAATGTTATCAGTTCATATACACGCCCGAATATCTTTTTGATCGACTGTAACAGAAAGTTGTCACCTGGTTATTAAGCAGTGAGACCCGTGAAGATCCGGGATAGATTAGGTCTGCAGCAACCCATGCTTGCCGTAAAAGGCGACTATGCTTGTCGCAAGAGGCAACTAACGGGATAGGGTGGTCAGGCTCGCTGACTTGGTTGATGCATGTCAACGATCCCAATTGTGTGGATCGATGCTCATGATATCAATCACTGGATTGTCTGGTCCAGACTCGATGATTTACAGACCGTCGTCATAAAGCTCGAATATTGCTGAGTGTGGTGTTAAACAACTATTAAGCAGTGACCTTGACACAAAATTCTGTATATAAGTCAATGACTTGGACCCAAAAAATGTAAAAAAAAGTCATGGCAAAAGTCATTTAGTCAAATTAACAAAATGGTGGAAGGACCATAACAACAAATCGATGCAATACTTTTCATGATTGGATGAATGTATACAATCTGACCAATGGATGTCGCGATAAGAAAAGCACTTGGCAAAGTCACTACAGCTCCTTAAAGCATTTCCCCATGATGCAGAAAGTATAATGCAAAAACACAGAAAGTATGATGTAAAGACATGCGGTGCTTAGAATTTCAGGGGCGGCCGGGTAGCCTAGTGGTTACAGCGTTAGCTCGTCATGCCGAAGACCCGGGTTCAGTTCCCGACATGGGTACAATGTGTGAAGCCCATTTCTGATGTCCCCCGGCGTGATATTGCTGGAATATTGCTAAAAAGCGACGTAAAACCATACTCACTCACTCACTTAGAATTTCAATTACGATCTCTGATGGCTGTGCATTATTAGCATTTCTATCAGTCAAAAGTCTGACTACTTAAACAAACCATCTACCAAACTGAAATTTTATCTGTGACCAGTGACCGACGGCCATCTGGAACTCTGTTAGGGACTGATCATCACCAAGTTTGGGCACTTTTCTGTATTTTTTCATGCCATGTAATTGTTGCGGATGTAACTATTGGGATCAGTGTGATATTTTTTTTTATCAAATTTCAGATTATGGGTGCCACAACAAGCAAGAGAAGGAAAAACAAGAAAAGAAGGAAAGAAGACGATGACATTGACCTTGACACATCACCTTATCAGGACCTTGAACGTCTGAGGACATTGTCAAAAACCCGACTGAACAGACTATCGGCTGAAATGGACCGCCTGTCAGTCCCCACAAGCCAGTATTACTCCAGCGATTCCCTGCTCATCCAGGACACACAGAGAAGCACCATGTCTCTGAACAGGAATCTCATTGGACATCCGACATATCATGTGAAGGGGTCATTCAGTGCCGATAACCTAATTCTGGATGACCATCCTGTCCTTACGAAACTTCAAAACGAACAGAACGCTCGACTCGAGCACATGGAACAGAGGATCACGAAGATCCGTACAAACGCCATGCAGGCAGCTGAACGGAGAAAGTATGCTCACATGTTCCGTGCAAAGTCGGACGACTCAAGAACTGCTAAGCTTCTTAAAGAGGCAAGTGAGGCGCTTGAGGCATTAAAACGTGAGAAGAAATCTCAAACAACTCTCAGTGAGGAGAATGACAAAGGGGAGATAATCCCTGTCAGAATTTTGTGTGAAGAGCAGCAGAGGGAAAAGGAAGACTCCAAACAAACAGCGAAAGCATCAAAAAAGGAAGAACTGTGGCCGGCTCAACTACAAGCCTTGAACTTTGGTATGTGTCATGTTGCTGTGTATGTGTGGTGAGGGAGTTAGTTTTTGTGATGGTTTTAGCACTGATTCAGACATTGTTGCAGGTTACATGGATTTGAGACCTGTGAAGATCCGGGGTAGAATAGGTCTTCAGCAACATATTTGCCATTAAAGGCGACTATGCTTGTCGTAAGAGGCGACTAACAGGATCGGGTGGTCAGGCTCACTGTCATGGTTGATTCATGTCATCGTATCCCAATTGCGTGGACCAATGCTCATGATGTCAGTCTCTGGATTGTCTGTTCCAGACTCGATTATTTACAGACCGCTGTCATATAGCTGGAATATTGCTGAGTGTGGCATTAAACAACAAACAAACAAACAAAACATTTATTTGATGACGGCCTCCATTCAGCCACACAACCCATCCTATCCACTCTTGCGTGACTGCTTCCAGCTTCCAGAGCATCTGCCCATGAAGGGAGCAGGTTGGTGGTTCGATCCTAGCCTGAGTCGTATCAAAAGACGTTAAGGCGTTACCCTGCCTGGCGCTCAGCCTTAAGGGTATAAGACAAGGACTGGTCGGCTTGGAGTCGACTGGTCGGTATGCTGTGGGGGGCACGGGTGGCCCAGTCGTCTAAGGCGCTGCGATTCGCTGTGCAGAGTTGCGTCCCTTGGGCACGCCAGAAACCTATGATTGTGGGTTCGAATCCCAGTTCGCCCCAATTATGTTTCTAGGTTTGTCAGCACCATACCTGTGCTCGTGGGTTTCACCGAAGTGGTAAACGTCAGAGACCTGCATCACTTCGGGCTTTCCTCCCACATTAAGCTGACACGCCGTGATATAACTGTAATACTGTTAAAAGCGGCGTTAAACCCAACTCACTCACTCACAGTATGCTGTGCCTGAGTAAGGTATCCCTGTTATTCTGTGGCATGGTATCTCAGTGGGCTAGCACTACAAAACAGGCATTAGCCTGTACTTGTACAAGCAGACAGACACATGCACATTGCTTTATACCGTATTCGACGTAATAAGCGCCCAGGGTGCTCTCAATATTAGACATGGGGGGCTCATTTTAGAATATTATTTTGGTGAAAAAAAACAGAGTTGAAAGATAAGTTTCATGGTTATGCTGACAGCCTGAAATGTTTATGTACGACAGATATATTTTTCCATAATTTTATTGCCCATAATTAAGGGTGCATATAGCACACGAGTGCATATTATACGCGAATAAATAAGTCTTGTGTACATTGATCAATCAGAAGGGGAGCTAATTGGGATTGTTCACCAGCCAATATATCAGCAGTGTCACCGTGGGCGCTTATTAGAGCGGGGCGCTTATTACGTCAGATACAGTAAGTGCAATAATGGATGTGAGATGTGAGAGGGTGTTTGGGTTCTAGTTAGGGGTCAAATATCCACAGAGGTTTTGGGGTTTCTGCAGTCGGACCGGGGATCATTTGAGAACCTGGAAGGGCTGGACTTGCGTGTAGTGTTAACAATCTCACTTATTCCTTAACACTGTGTGTGATTCAATGGGTGATTCAATGGGGTTTTTTTCTGATTCAGGTGAACCGGTCACATGGCTTCTGCTTCCATTTCTTCTTCCCCTTCTGCTCGTCATCTACCTCATCAGATCAGTGGGTAACCATGGCAACGGCAGACAAAAGAAGAGACAATGACAACTACTTAAGATCAAGACTTTGTGCCTTAAGTCAACCTTAAGACAACTCAACTCTCACCATGCACACGGCTAAGTTCTGTTCTTCTCAAACATGGAATTGATACATTCACAGCTGTCGACGTAAAAACCTTCCTAAAATATTTCGAAGATGGTGGAAAATGGATATGCCAAGTTTTTAGTTCTTTTGGAGACAAACCTTATATGATTCACAGCTCTGCAGCCCTGGTGCGTCATTACATCGAGGTGGTTGTGTTTAGTCATATCTTCACAGACAACACATCACCATGGATTCCATGCCAACAATGTAGAACCACACTCAGTTCTTCCAAAGCAAGAAGCATCCAAACAGGTGCTGTACAACCCAAGGATAAGCTTCTCAAAGGAAGGAATATATTGAACAAGTTGAAGGAATATAGTATTCAAGCAGATTGCGTTCATCAATGCTGAATACTTGGATATATAGTCTGTGATTCAGCACCTTCTGTGTCAAAATATCACATGGTGACATGAAAGTCTTCATACTGATGAAAAAAATTGTCAACAAATTTAGATTTAATTGGCAAAATTTTGAATTTTCATTTTTTTAATTTCAGCATGCTTCTACCTTTCGTTTGATCACACTATCACCGATTTAAAAAAGAATAAATAATTCTTGTCCGTTTGTAGCATCCGACTACTTAAGGTCACATGACACGGCATGAAGGCTATACTTATACTGGGAAGTGCTATCAGTTGATATGAACCAAGGATGAAGAGAGATCACCACGGACATCTTGGAAGACAGACTGAAAAAGAAGTGTTATTCGAGACAAAACCATCGTGATATGAATGTCTTCACAGTTCATGGATATGATGTGTGATGAAGAGTGTGCATGAGAGTGGAAGTAGGGAACTACCAGACACCCTGCTACTCTGCCGATTGTTGTAATGAATGAAGGGATGACGACTGTCAGAATATATCACCAGACATTGATATTCAAAATACTTCTTAAGGTAAACAATTCCAGGTTAAAATGTCAATTTTGTTTGACACATTGGTATAGCAGTGTCGAGGTGGACGAGGTCCCTAAGGTTTGTTGGTATTGTATATGACTCTAAGGACACACTAAATGTGATCTTCCTGAGGCAAGCGTGTCCACTAGCTCATATCAAAGCCTAGTTTCTACCCTTGCCACATCAAGGCCACTCGGCTCGACCCTGGCGCCACCTCGCGTATATCACGAGATGTGTCCCTTGTAATGAAAATGCGATATCCAATTAGATCGCTGTTCTTACCTCGTATTGCTTCACAAACATGGCGACTACCGTAGGTGACGACCTCATCGATCAGATAACGAAAACATTCATGAAACGTCTGATTGGACTATCGATATGTGCGATAGTCCAATCATATTTAGCACAGGAAAGTGTTCTTGATGTGGCAAGATTGGAAACAGGACTTTGATAAAAAGGCTAGTGGATGCTCTTGTCTCGGGAAGATGACTAAATGTCTACTTTAAAAATTAAAGTTACGACAATAATCCTGACATTCGTGCTAAGCTTCAGTCACTGTAAAGGACCTGTGTTTACATGGTGAAGAAAAGAGAGGTTTCCTTTCCTTTCATGTCTTCTTTTATAAGGCTTAAGAAAACAAAAGAATTGGTTCTCAGGCAATGATTTTTGAAAATATAGTGCGGGCGGGCGGTGCCTTATTTTGGGTGGGGGGTATGTAAGTATGTAACCAATAAACAGTTGTGTAATCAATAAGCAATTGTGTACAATCAGCCTGGGAAAGGCCTCCCTACATAAATGTATTCCTTGGTGAGTAAAATACTGGAATACAGTATTTGACAACTGTTGGACTTATATTTATGGATGTATGGTGGGTTTTTAAAATGGAAATAAAAACGAAACGTGCAGCGAACTTTATGATGATGCAGGCAGTGGTGCCTGAGAACCAATACAAGACTATTAGTTTTTTTAGCCTAAATGTGGACTTTTACAAAAGGATACTCAGGATTCTGAAAAGCTAGTCTCTGTATCGGAGTGTGGTGAGTGAATGCTGAATTGTCAGCCTAACTGTGCGCCTATCAGCACCTGATGACTACCAGACATAATACCTGATTTGTGATACTCTAACATGTGTTGACACCAGCCACAGTTAGGAACCTTCTGAGCGCATGTCCACAAATAATTTGCCTCTGTGGATGTGGAAAATTGACAATCGCTCTGAAATCACTTGATCATGTTCGTGTCTATATCCACCAGATTATATACCACTGGAACTTTGTCCTGATGACATGTCATGTTACGATATGATGCTTGTCATGATACAATGCTTGTCATGATGCAATGCTTGTCATGATGCAATGCTTGTCATGATGCAGTGCTTGTCATGATGCAGTGCTTGTCATGATACAATGCTTGTCATGATACAATGCTTGTCATGATGCAGTGCTTGTCATGATACAATGCTTGTCATGATACAATGCTTGTCATGACACAATGCTTGTCATGATACAATGCTTGTCATGATACAATGCTTGTCATGACACAATGCTTGTCATGATGCAATGCTTGTCATGATACAATGCTTGTCATGATATGACGTTTTTCATGATATGATGTTTATCATGATACTGTGTTTGTCATGATACAATGCTTGTCATGATGCAGTGCTTGTCATGATGCAGTGCTTGTCATGATACAATGCTTGTCATGACACAATGCTTGTCATGATACAATGCTTGTCATGATGCAGTGCTTGTCATGATGCAGTGCTTGTCATGATGCAATGCTTGTCATGATACAATGCTTGTCATGATGCAATGCTTGTCATGATATGACGTTTTTCATGATATGATGTTTATCATGATACTATGTTTGTCATGATACAATGCTTGTCATGATACAAATGCTTGTCATGATACAAATGCTTGTCATGACACAATGCTTGACATGACATAATGTTTGTCATGATACAAGGCTTGACATGACACAATGCTTGACATGATACAATGGTTATCATGATGCAATGCTTGTCATGACACAATGCTTGTCATGACACAATGCTTGTCATGATGCAATGCTTTTCATGACACAATGCTTGACATGGCACAATGTTTGTCCTGATACAATGCTTGTCATGATACAAGGCTTGTCATGATACAATGCTTGTCTTGATACAAGGCTTGTCATGATAGGCGTTGTGAGTCTATTACCATTATGGCACATGCCTTTGGATCTGTACAAGAATTACATATGCATGATACTTGCATGGCGCCTAAAGGCACCATGTGTACTCCAAGATATATAAACGTTATAACACATACCTTCGGATCAGTGCAAGCAGTACGTTGTATATGCATGAAACATGCATAGTTCCTGCCGCCAAGCACTGAGAGTACTCAGTAACTGGATATATAAACGTTATAACACATACCTTTGGATCAGTGCAAGCAGTACATTGTATATGCATGGTGCCAAGTCACATGACTTACGCTGTACAACCGGAGGCAGTATGGACTGTAATTCCCCATGAACCATGTCGATATTCATTTTAATCAGCAAGTTAGGAACAGGACTTGATACAAGTCAAACACACAGTATTTAGCAAAAAGGGTTGGCGATGTTGCACCTATGTCACATAGATGATCATGGGAATCAAACCTGATGATGTGTCTTGTGCCTCATCCAAGGGGCCACCCTGCCTCCTCTTTGTATTATATGCATGTAGTGTTGTTTTTATGTACGAATCTTGATTTTCGTATTACCATGGTATTGAACTGATATTCAAGTGTATTGTACCAGTACCGTATGTTTCCAAAATAATGTCAACCAGTGGCTTTTCAGTCCATACATGACTCAGCTGAGAGTGACAAAATGTCCGACCACTTTCAGCAGAAATCTGTGATTGCCAAAGATTTGTATTGTGATGACCCCCGTCTAGTCAGTGCTATATATTCATCACTGTTATACATTATACTTTACACTATAGCAGATATATCTACATTGTAGTTGGAACCAGTTTTGATGAAAAAATCAATCAAATTACTGTATTCGACGTAAAAAGCCCAGGCCACTCTCAAAATTAGAAATATTAGAATAATATTTTGGTGAAAAAAAATTTGAAAGATAAATTTCGTTGTTTATGCTGACAGCCTGAAATGTTTATGTACGAAATATATATTTTTCCAGAATTTAATTCCCCATATTTAAGGTTGCCTGTAACACACTAGTGCGTATTATACGCGAATAAATAAATCTTGTGTACATTGATCAATCGGAAGGGGTGCTAATTTGGATTGTTCACTAGCCAATATATTAGCAAATATCACCGTGGGCGCTTATTACATTGAATACGGTACTGTAGTGCTGTGGGCTTTGGTCCATCTTCGAGCACCAGCTCATTCAGGGTATTTTGTTTTGAACAGATGAGTTTACAAGTTTATAAAATATTCAGATAATTGGTTGTTCAGGCTTCTTTTGATATTACTGTATTCACTGTAATGAGCACCCTGGGGGATTAGAAAGTTGACAAGGGGGCCCTTATTGAAACCATACATGAAAGTTCAATTTGTTTTCAGAGATACAGTGGTAGTGAACTGTTTTCTGTAAACACTGTGGGGCAGTTTGGTAGCATAGCTACAGTGTTTGCTCGTCACTTTGAAAACCGGGTTCGATTCCCAATATTGGTACAATGTGTGAAGCTCATTTCTGCTGTGGTATTGTTGGAATATTGTTAAGGCAGTTTTAAACCGCCAAATTCATTCACTGAAGGCATTGTGTATTATGTACACATGAGCAAATATGGACTGTCATGTATTGTTTTCAATCTTAGTAGGGTGCACGGGTGGCCCAGTCGTCTAAGGCACCGCGATTCGCTGTGCAGAGTTGCGTCCCTTGGGCACGGCAGAAACCTATGATTGTGGGTTCGAATGAAGGTTCGCCCTGATTATGTTTCTAGGTTTGTCAGCACCATACCCGTGCTCGTGGGTTTCACCGAAGTGGTAAACGTCTAAGACCGGCATCACTTTGGGCTTTCCTCCCACATTAAGCTGACACGCCGCGATATAACTGGAATACTGTTAAAAGCGGCCTTAAACCCAACTCACTCACTCACAATTCAATCTTAGTAGCGGGTGCTTATAGAGATTATTTACGGATTGATCTAGAAGTTGGTCGCGGTATGTTATACAGTGACTACAGAAGATGTTTATCCTGTTTTTTCATCTCATACACAAAATGATCAGTATAGTTTTATAGAATATATAGAGGCAACTGAGTTAAGTCACAAAGTATAAAGTCTATTATAGTATTCACCTCATCTGCAATCCATGGAAATAGAAAGATAAACACTGTTATACAGAAATCTTTTTTTTCTGATGTGTGGAATTTCTGAAAGCATTTCGTCACGTAATACTAGAATGTGTACAAGGTTTGACAGTATTGTGATCCTGCAGTCAATATCTGACTGTATACACCATCAATATAAGGGTAACGTTATTTTTCAGGGCATTATCATTTGCAGAAGCCCGAGGTCTTCTATTAACTGTCCGTTGAAGGAGTGCAGTTGAAAAGACCGAATGCTTCTGCAAATGATAATGCCCTGAAAAATAGCGTTACCGTTATTATAGCTAAAATGGATGGAATTTGTTATCAAATAAAGAGAAACAACAATATCGGTTTTGAAACATTTACTGCAATCAACACAAATGTCACTGACCTACTTTTACAAATATGGAAACGTCATAGAACAAACCGAATGACGTCACGTCACCTATCCCTTTCCTATGACGTCACCTAACAACGGGCGTGATAATGGCCAGTATTGTGATCCTGCAGTCAATATCTGACTGTATACACCATCCATGTGTGTTATACCACTTAGGTTATGGTACTGCTGAAAGGTTATACTAGAATGTGTACAAGGTTTGACAGTATTGTGATCCTGCAGTCAATATCTGACTGTATACACCATCCATGTGTGTTATACCACTTAGGTTATGGCACTGCTGAAAGGTTATACTAGAATGTGTACAAGGTTTGACAGTATTGAGATCCTGCAGTCAATATCTGACTGTATACACCATCCATGTGTGTTATACCACTTAGGTTATGGTACTGCTGAAAGGTAATATAATATTAGTAGTGATATTATCTTCAGTTGTGCCTCATTTGACAGGTGATAACAGCAACGTTGTCTACTTCGACTGTGCCATTAGCCAGCTAGGGGAAATGGGTTGTGGGTGAGGTCATTCAGTACAGCTCAGGGGGAGATGAGTCACTCTCACTACTTTCCTTATCACTGGTTGAGAGTTGTGAGAAGTCTGCAGTGCAGATACGACATGCGTCATATCAGGCAGGAGCCTGCAGCTGGACACAGCTTGCCTCCTCCTCCTCCTCCTCCTCCTCCCATCCAGCGGGATACAATCACTGGCTTGTTATGTGCACTATGAATCATCTAAGTATGGTGGCTCAGTCATAGTCAAGGTGATGAGTTAGACATGCAGGGTTCGAACTAAGGATGTTCTGGGTCCTTGATGATTGCTAGTTTTTGTACACCTTAAGTATTTTTAACATTAGGCTTATGACATTTAGAACCCCTTGACTTTGATGCTTAATTTCGAACACTAGACATGTTAGTGTTGTTAGTCGTCAGTGTTGGAAAGTAAGAGAGGTCCTTGTTCCTTGAGATTTGTGC